GAGAGAGAGAGAGGGAGGGGTAGCGAGCGAGTTAGGTGGTCATCACTTTAGGCATGCCACTGGCGAAGTTATCCATGACGCTTCCACTACAAGCATTATATAACCTAATGGAGCCTTGTCATGTCATCACCAGCAGGCGCGCCTCATCTCCTTTCTCATCCTTCTGTGCTCATATGGAAGCAGCCGGTGATAGAGAGCCGTGGGAGGCGGCCCTTGACGATGCAACGTTGGACGTGCTGACGGAGATCGATGGCGCCCTTCAGATGGAGCTGTTGGACGACAAACACGGGGAAGAGGCCGACGACGACAGGCTCGGGCCGGTGATCCGGTCTCTCGAAGCCGAGATCTCCGCTGCCGCCGCCGCCGGTTCGGTAGCGGGTTGCAGCAATGGCGATACGATGCTGGAGTCGGGTCACCACCACGAGGACTGCGAGGACTGCAGACTGGACGACATTCTATCAGGTCCTGACAGCCATGGCTGCTCGACGTCGTCGACGTACCTCGTCGAGGACCCCTTTGGCTGGGTGGAGATGGAGGCGGCGGGCGTGGGATCTCCATGCAGTGACCTGGTCGATTGGTATGCCGACGAGTGCATCAGCGACCAGGTCGGGGTGGTGGGTCATGGCGAAGCAAGATGTCACTCGACCTCGTACTACAGCGAGCAGTACACATCCCTGTGGGAGTAAAGACTAGTTAGACTCTTACGTACATGTAAAACCATATGTATATGTCTTACATTACAGCAGAGTAGCAAATAAATCAGAAGGGGTCGTCTCCTATTTTGCAGTCGTTTTGGTATAACAATGCAACTATTCAATCGCATCGGACGGTTAGGAGATCGTTTTCGATAAAACGATGGACTTTTAATCGCTAGCAAAAATCTGAACCATTCACTCGCATCGAACGGTCAGGAGATTATTCTCGATAGCTTAGGAAAATGTTGTGAATAAAAATGGGCTTTCAATTATCGGGCCCATGTGGCCTAACAAAAGAAAAGCCCTAATACGCAGACGCAATCAAGAAAGCCTTGTCGGTTTCCCTTTTGAATGAAGAAAGCGAGGGCCGCTTCCTCGCTGTTGCTCCTTCGCCGCCGGAACCTGACGAGCGCCGCCCCCTCTCTCCAGGTTTCTCGCTGTCCTCAAATCCTACTCGGTTCTCTCTTCTTCTTCTTCTTGTATTCTTTCTTCGATCGTTGGCGGTCAAGAAGATGTAGTTTCCTTCCAGATGGATTCTCCTTCATCTTTTTCTCTTCCGCCGCCGGAGCGTTACATCTACAACCCCACACTTCGATGGAACCCAGAAGTCGAGGAGTACTTTAACGCGGCCTACGGAGCAGACCACTTCGCCCGGATCTCCAAATCCCTAACGTAACTTCTTCGTCTCCTTCCATATCATCTCCCTGCGCTTTCCGAGCATACAGTTGTGTAGGGATATTGGAATGCACGATATTATAATGTAATTGAAGGTTGCTAGGTAGAATATGATTACGTTAGATCTTTTCTATGAGCATTCACACTGAGATTTTCCTTTACATAATGCCAGTTTCTTTTAGAGTGATCACATCTGCCTTCATCTGGTTTGGAGAAATTTTATTAACATATTTCAAGGAGATTTTTCACTCGAGTCATTTCAACAACTGCCTTCATTGTTAGTCACTATCTTATGTATTCCGGTGTTAGAATATGTTGTCATTTCTCGCCACCAGGAAGACTGCTTGATTAGTAGGGTTGCCCGTATCATCATGAGAGGAGTTGCAAATGTGAGAGACATGCCCTTTTGTTTTTGATCTTGTAGAGAGTTCTACTGATTCTTTAATACTACAAAGATCTCCTGGCAGATTAGTTCCCCTTTATGCTTAGCACTTGAGAACTTGTGCTTTAATATGTCTCCAAGTTCTTTGGAGTTTCCCTGTGCGCTTTTTTTATAGTCATCTTGATACGTTTGGACATTATTTTTTCTTCATTATTACTGGTCTTGTGCTCGACTAGCCATAATACTTCTTCAGAAGATGAACAACTGACAGTTTATTTTGTTTAGGCACCCTTCTTCCTACTCTTGCATTCGTGTGAATACTCTGAAATCTACAAGTGAGGCAGTTATAAGGAAGCTAATTGCCATTCTCAATGAGAAAAGGCTTGAAAATGCTGCTGAAGGAGATGAGGTACCAAAAGAAGGAAGTTTGTTGGATTCTTCTATCCGTAATGTGATTGACTCAAGGTTGCTTCAGGATAATGATACTCCTATTGGAACATCAGAAAGCCCTTCCATTTGTAAGTGTCCTTATCCTGGTCTTGATAATGTTGTGTTTGTTAAAGGTTCGGGACCACATATGCTTCAGTATGGTATTCAACCTTGCCAACCCATGAAAGAAGTAATTGTGAGTCGCAAATGTGCTGAGGCAGTTCTTCGTGGAGCACAGGTACTTTCTGAATATGGTTGCGGTGTTAGCAATGTGCTTGTTCTTGTCAATTAATAATTTGTCATATGTATTACTTGTTTAATTGCTTTCATTCTATCAGCGTTAAATCATGATGTTCATTGCATTAAAATGGTTTTTTACTCTTTCAAGAATTGTAACCACAATCTGCTTCATGTTCTTTATTACTTGTGATTCTGTTCCTCCTATATCTTGTTAGCTCTCTCCATTTCCTGTTGATTCTTCCTCTGGTATCTGTTCAACATGTGTAAGTTCTAATTCAACTTCGGTCGTGGTGGTCTGAGAAATTTATACTTTATTTGAAAATTTTTACTTGTTTTATATTTGTATATTTATACTTATTGGTCAAGCCAACTCTTTTAGCCAGCTTCAGCTACACTGCTAGGGTTTTTCAATGATCAGGGGTATTACTTGATTATTGGTGATGGTTTCTGATATTTAATTTCTACTCGATCTACATATGGGTACTTATTGGTTTGTTCTGTAGTTGAACTTTAAATGAGGAACTTGCAGGTGAAACTATTCTTGATGACATGCTTCACAAGCCAGTATGATATCCTATCCCCTTTTACGAAGTTGTAACAAACTTGAACTTTCCCATCTGCCATCGTCATGTTTTTTTATTGTATATCCTCATTGATCCAAAGACCTAGTGATTCTTTTGCATTCTATCTCCATCTTTACTTTCTCCTCTAGTAAATTAATCTTTTTGTACAGATGGATTTACAGATATTCTTTGTACATAAATGAGCCACGTCAATTGATTTTTCTCTTGGATACTGTGATCAGTACCATCCTAATCACTAATTTCTCGAAATGCAGCTTTAGATATTCATCTGTGCCAAATTAACTTTTTGGAATTGTTGTTTTTTCACTGCCAATTCACGTATGATTTCACATGCATGTTAAGTAATTCCCATCGGCCACTCCATGTTTTAGTGTAGTTCTATGTACTGTTTTTTTTTTCCTTTTCATATTGGACAACAGATTCAATGTTTTAAAATTCTTTACCTTTGAATTTTCTAGGCCATCTTTACTGGATAGAACTTTTTCTTTTTCTCTTCAAGTTACTCATCTAGCGATCACTTCTTTGCTAAAACTGATTGCTGGTAATAATGTTATAATATGTTGGTGGGTTATGCAGCCTATGATAAATCTGTTTCAACTCAGATGTATTTTCCCTCGTGCTTTGCACATTTTAGATGTACTTAATGCTTACTCTAGTTCTGAAATTCCCATACTTGGCTGCAGCCCTCCTTTGTTTAAAGCATTTCAAAGTTTGTGACGGTTTGGAATCGAAATGTACTTTATAGGAAATTTATGAATTGAAGCAGTTGGAGTATAATGGTTTATCCACAGGTATATGTCCCTGGTGTTCTGGCTTGCAGTGCACATGTTGAAAAAGGGGATGTAATTGCAGTCTCAGTAGCTGTTGAGCAGCGTATGTCTGATGGTGGATGGGGTGTTGGTTTTACACGTGGTACTGTCCTACAAGGGTTGGAATCAGGTAAGCTCTATCTTTTGATAGTTTAAAGCAAAGCTTTAGATACTGGTCAAACCAGCATGTATTGGCTGGTATTTACTGGCCTGACCAAGTAGTAATGTTGAAATGTATAGCTTGATACTAGCAAAATGCCATTAATTTGAATTATTTTTATTATTTATTAAATGATACCAGTGGTGCAAGCTAGATATGACCAGTACATCAATACCTTACCAATTTGATGGGTTGCTGAAACTGTGTTTGGACCAGTTTTAAAATCCTTGATTTGTTTATTTTGGAATTTAATAAATTACTTTTTAATCGTATACTTATTCTTTAACATAATATGCTAAAAGCATATCTTTTGTTCAGTGCCCACATTCTTTTCTTTACATATAGATGAAGGTGTCTCTAATTGTTAGTTATTTTCTAATGGACAATGTCAAAACACATTTTCCTTGTTCTACGTAACAACAAATTAAAAAATCTAGGCGTCAGAGCTCTGTTAGTTATTCTGTGTTTGGGAGTGTTGCGGAAGTTGCCTATAGCTTCAGATGCATAATTGTGCCAAATTGTGGGCCCGCTTCATTCATCTAGAAATTGTCCCATGTTATTATTATCATTCTTGGTTTTTTGAAAAAAAAATCTTGGTTTGACAGGCCATATGTAATTATGAGGCATAATGGAAAATCGAGATGCAGTTTGATCAGTCTTTTCTTGCCATAACCAATCAGAAATAAGACCTCAGTGGGCTCAGGATATAGGGTCTGAACTTAGTATTTTGTTTGACCGAATCAATCGTAGACACTTGTTTGTCATCAATGTTTCCAAAGCAACAACAATGTTGCTAAGTGCATGCCAAATCCATTTCTTATTTTAAGGAAAGAAAGATTTTTTACTTGGTTCTCTTGTTAGTCTGATCTTAGCATCCGAATAATACTTATAGATTGAACTTTAGAAATAATTGCAAATATTCTCTTTGTTAGGACATCCTTTTTGTCTTATCTTCTTGTTTTATTGGCTTTAATGATAATATGCATTATGCAAGCCAAGAGCCAAGACTCTATAAAGCGCTTTGGTGCTATTGTTTTGTCTCTGATTAATTGTCTT